TGCTTCACAGAATGGTGGTACTGGGACAGTTACTCTCACGTAAACTAGATTTAAGTGATAGTACACTTGCGCTCCATCAATCACACTCTTCTCTCACCCACCTGTGCCTAGCGTCAAGACAGAGTCAAGAAGACTACAGGCTGGATCAGACGTAGGTGGCTGGCGCAGCATGAACCTGCAACTACGGGTGCCCCCACTTTGCCCCCGTCCCATGTTCGAGGTTCATCGTAAGGGCGCATTCCAACTAACGCCTGTCTTGCCCTGACCTAGCCCCCGTGCTGATCCAACGCGTCTACAAGGCGGTCCGTTTAGGGGGGAAAGTCATCGGGATATGAGAGCGAGGTCATGCAAAAGACATTTGTGAGGCCCATACAGCTGGGATTTACCCCACTTTCGCTTAACATTAATCTTGATCCGTGGCTGCAAATTGGAGAAACGATTCGTGAATATTTTTACCGATTATTCTGCGGGCTGTTCCAAGGTAACAGTAGACTGTTGTTCTTTGTCAGCCTGTGCATAACTTGGTTTGTTTTTTTTTTGACAAACTTTGTAGTCTGTGGATACCTAATGCCAGATGAAAGAATATGTTCTCGAAAGGTGCCAGCGTCTTGACAAGTGCACTGCAATCATTTGCGAACGAGGGTTACGCCAATGCTGCGTGGGTCTTCCGCGGATATTATACAGTTTTCTTTAAAGAAAGGTTATCTTCTTCTCATTAAATGTGTCGCCATAAGATCACCCGTTTTTGGCATTGTTCAAGTACACGGAGAAGACTACAGTCAACTCAGGCGTGAGTTGTATCAGCTTGAGTGCGCACAGCGCAGAAGCATACACTAAGGAAATTACGGCTACCTAATTACGTGAGTGCGAACATTCTACCTCTGGAGCGTAAGAAATCAATCCACACTATTACCGGCACTACGGAGCATAAAGCATCCTGATAGCCTATGCTGTAAAATAGTGCATTTAGTCTGACACCAAGTAGTGTGTATTCCATTTTTTAAACACACTACAAGACACTGAGTAGTGATCAATTTACGAGACTTCGAAGGCTTAATCTTGAGGTTGCATGCAGTAGATTTGCTATCGCATGAAATATCAACTGAAAGTCTGCAAAGTTTTTTAGATTCAAAAATATTGGTTAAGCAGGGGTGTTATTGGTTATTAAAGTGCGGTTTAATTCCAAGAGATATATTGGTCACCTCAGGAAGCCGGATTTGTACGAGCTTCTTTCCAGTCACTCACCAGAACTAAGCCTTCGACAAAATACCAGGCTACGTAGCATGGTTTCATCTTACTGATTTCTAATGCTCTGATAAATTCAAATATGCTTTTTAGAATGCATGCTCGAAAACACTATTCTTTGTACTCAGTTCGTGTAAAATGATGTCGCTTTCAACTGTTATACCTGAAAAAGCTTCAAATTATGAGATTTTTAAAATCAAGAAATGCCGAACGGTAAAGCATCGTATTTGACCATTTATTTATGTGGCTTATTGTCTGGCATGCTCACATTCCCACGAGGAGTCATCTCACAGAAAATTACATGCGCACGTTTCCCACATCGCCTGCTATGAACTTGCGCTTGAGGTTGTTTCACATTGGCTGCAGCCACGGAGTTCTCGTCACTTCTGATCCATCCACGTCCGCGAGAATCTTACTCAGCCCTTCTAAGGTTTTTTCTTGAAGCAGAATCGATAGAATATATCCAACAAGACCGGGACACTATAGATAACTACAGCGTTTCAATGAGGAATTACGGGTTTATAATAGATTTTGTCATGTTCGATCGTGTTCTCTTTTTCTCTCTTGTTGGTGTTTTGGAAAACAGTCGAACAAGCATAAGTAAGAGGCTGTGTAAGGACACTTATAAAATATACAACATGTTGGCAGGTAGGCGTAAGCCGATCAGTTACAAGGCACACTCGTCCCGAGTTCAAACTCGAGCCACGCCGCAAGGTGGCTAATGATATAGGCAGAAGGACATTACCGACAAAGACAAGGGAGATTAGGATGGCCAACCCAAGTGTTGCCCCAGAAACTGGCGCCCCGCTCGATTTTCGAACCCACTGGTTAGAGCTTTGGACTTCTAACTAACAAGGTCGCGATTTCTAAACTCGAGTGAGGCACCAATTCCTGGGGCAACCCTTGGATCTGGGTATGACTAGCTGACGACGGCTAATGAGCCAGGAGTGGCTATCCTAGTCTTTGTCTTGTCGGTAATGTCCTTCTACATACAATATGGTGTGTATCCATCACAAAATTTTATGGCACTGTGTGGTGTCTTCATAGTAGCATCGAGGAACGTATGATTTTCGTCAGGCGGAGTGTATAGAGCATGTGAGTTTGAAACCGAAGGTGAACGAAGGTGACGGCAGGTCAGGTTTAAAATTATTTGGCAGTTGCTACCATTGAAGAGGTTAGTTCTCACGAAGAAGTATTTCTACATAAGACGGCATCCTGACGTGACCGATATATCCTGGGAGTATTCTGCACGAAAATTAAAAACTACAACCCTGCTTAGCTAATACTTTTGAGTCGAAAATGCATTTCAGCATGTCGGCTGATATTTCGCGCGATAGCAAATACGCTGGATATTGCTATTACTAAAAGTACACTACTTGTTTAATCACAAAATAAAAAAAAATTGAGTTAAAAATACAGGAGTGACACATACCGTTCGACAACCCAGTGAATTGCGCGGTGATGAGACCTTTGTATTACCGGAGGAGGAAGCCATGTCGACTGACTCATCCACCGCCTCCGTCGGAACCGGCCTCGTTTCGGGCAGACAAATGACGCAAATGAGACCAAGCACCCCGGCACTAATAATGATACCGAGCTGAATATTATAGCCAGTCCTTTCAATAATTACGCCTAAAATGAGATAAAATGGGTTTCAGCTGGAGTGCATGCCAGCGGGAGTCTGAGCAGGCCAGAAAAGAAGCAACTCTGGGAAGGAACTGAAGTCAACGATGCAATGAAACTACATTAGAATTGCCTTGATGATTCAGTTTATTCCACCAGCTTGGGACATTGCCGAATGCCAAATCAAAACGGTCCAAAAACGTGTAGGTGCCTCGTATAGGGAAAATCGCTAGTATGTGACAGATCGACCGTCTTTGCCGAAGATGTCCGTCGTGTGCCTTACAGCATGCTGGGTGTAGAGAGAGAGCGAATTGCGCTCGAATAAAGTAAAGTTATACGCTGCACCTAGCACATTTTTCCTCTCTCAACCACCTGGACTCTGTGACATGGCAAAGTAAACAAAACAGGTTCGGGCGCATATACCGAAAATGTTGACCAGTCCGTCTACGCGTGCCAAAGACCAGAGTTTCGAGTAACAGAGCAATGACTGACTCGGATCTCAGCTGAATGCGAGCGTCGTAGTACCATTGAAGCCAAACTGATCATCCTGAGATAAGGACAAAATTATCTTGTCAGCCCTACAATCGACAGATTGTAAGGCACTGCGATAGGTCACAAGCGTGTCAGACTGTTTAGTGATGAATAGGCACCAGAGTCGACCCTTTTCGCTCCTGCTTTACCCAGGCACCAGTCTATTGTCTGATCCTGTTAGTTAT